CCCCCAGGCAGCCTACCTAACGCGCGAACTTTTGACTTAGAGGACTCTTATCCCCGTACTAGAGCCAAACCCTAGCCATCACAGCTTAACAATATCCCAAGCAACTCCAAAATAAATAAGTTAAAAACTTATATACGTATTAAACAGTACACGAAACTACCTTCATGCACAAGTAGGTTGTAACAACACAACACATGCTCTAGATCCATAACCACTATAGGATGCCAATGTCGAATCTTCAGAGCGCGATTTGTTACGCGCTATAATAACATCACATGTCGAATCTTCAGTGTGCGATTCGCTACACGCTATAACAATATAATCCAATATTGAAAACATAATTTATAAATCTATTACAAGTCTAAAATCATGCTTCAAACATACTATCAATGCCAATTTCAGGATTTAATCATTAAAACAATAGAAACGAAATTTAATCAAATAAACTAATTAAATTCCCTAATTTTCAAATCTCAATCAAATGGCCCCTAATCAATGCATATTATACAATATAGCATAGTATATACATACATTCACTAAAATCTCAATTAGGCCAATGGCACAACAAGGTAGAATTTAATTATATCATGATAATTAAAGTTCTAAATTTCAAAGCAACTTCAAATGGTCCCAATTTAATATATACTAGTACACAAGTCCTAGTCATCATGATTATCAAGTAAAAAACTTAATTGGGCCAAGGGAACCATTAAATAGATTTTAATTAATCATTTAATTTAAAATCTCTAGATTTTCATACTTGTCCAAACACTCTCAAATTAAAGTATGTTAACAAACATGCTAAGACTTAATTTAAAAGCATAATATAAGTTCATTTCATGAAAAGTATGGCCATGGGATTTAATCTTTCACCAAAGATAAATATTAAATAAAAAGTGCAATTCTTATTCAATTAATCCCAATTTAATATATGTGAACAAACATATTAAAATATGATTTTCTAGCATGCCATAATTCCATTCTAAGTTATACACATCCTTGTGAATTAAATTTCATACAAAGAAATAATTAATACTAATTTTCTAGAATTGATACAAGGCATGCAATTAAGTTGTATAATCATGCTAAACATTCAATACAACACACACAAAAGTCTAGAACATCCCCTACCTCAATTTGAGATGAAAATCTCAAAAGCCACCAAATGGAAACCGCTCCGAATCCGACGAAACTTCTAGGTTTTGTCGGGGACTACACCGTGCACGTAACCCCCAAGCAAGCCCCATCAAAATCACAACTTGACTTCAAACCCAAACTCAAAGAATGGTCAGAAATGGGTTCTAATAAGGGTGAAAGGAGCGCATAATCAACACGAACACTAAACGCAAAGGCTCTTCTATATTCTGACGAAGGAATGAAGCTCAAAAGTGGAGAGAGAAGGTGACAGCCTCCCTTGGGCTGCCATGGAAGCTTCAGGTCGTGCAAGAGAGTAGGGAAGATGAAAAAATAAAATATCTCACCCCCCTTTTATAGAAATCTCAAAAAGTGCCCCCAACGGGCCCCGCCGGATCCGAAAAAGTAAAATTTGAGCAGACGTGCTCAACTGACTAAACTCTGTGAATGAAAAAGATTCAAAATGAGAAAATATGAATAATGGAAGAAATGGCGTTAAAAATCGAGTCCCGATCAGAAAGTTATGCTCCAAACAAGTTTGGCGCTAACCGGGGTCAGAAACCCTGAAACTGGAAAACAAGGATCAGAAGGAATTTCTAAGAGTACACGACTCGACGAAAAGTGAAAATGAATCCCGTACGAGAATTCAGGGCTCAAACACAAGGCATTTAGCAGTAACTTTCATTAATTGCACAATGGCCCTTCCAAAAAGTGAAAACTGCACTAATGGCCCATAATGAAAATATCTTCTAAAAATATTTTCTTAAAAACCCCTGAAATAAAATATCTTTAAAAGATATTTACGAAAAACACCCCAAGAAAATAAAATAATTTCAAAGAACTTTGCATCCATGCCCCTATGGACACCGGGAGCAACTAGAGTACTTTCTTGCAAAAGTAAAGATACGTATTTCGTAGAAACCACTCAAGATGGAGATACATGAAGTCAAAAACCAACTTCGAACACATGAAGTGTGGTTATGCCAACAAAGTGTCAAACGGGGAAAAGACAAAATAGGGAAAAGGACGAAAAGTGAATACTGTCGAAAAACGAAAAATGTGGAAACGACTCGGTCCTCAAAGGATGTTGTCAATCCACTAGGAAAGAGTCTCGGAAATCACTCCAGAGCACTCGAGATGACACTAAGCGAAGAGGAACTGAACTCAGAAGGGAAAGACAACGGAAAAAAAATATCCGTGAAAATCCGAGTCATTACATTTTAAGTCTACTTGGACTTCACAATGGACTTGGATAATGATTAGGATAACTATGATGCAATGATACGGCAAGAGATTGGGCTAAAAGAGGTTGGGTTCGGTATATAGTTTAAGTTGGTCAAGAACATGGAAGTAGGCTATAAGAGAAGAAGCAAAGGCGTGGCAAATTTTACACAAGGGCATTACTGATCAAATGGAATATTTTTGAACTATTATGTTGGATAAGATTTATGAGTCACTGCAAGAAAAGGAGGCTTTTGGGACGGATTATTTGGGACGGTTTAAAAATTGTCTCAAATGAGCCTAGTTTTTGGGACAATAATATATCTACCGTCCCAAATGAAATATCTACCGTCCCAAATGAGAAAAAAAAATGACCGGGAATATTTTTGGTGGGAAAATGAGGCTCTTGGGACAGATCATTTGGGACAGCGTAATAATTGTCTCAAATGATCCTGCTTTTTTGGGACGCCAACATACTTACTGTCCCAAATGAGCTAAAAAATAACCGGGAATTATTTTGGTGGGAAATTTTGGCTGCTGGGAAATTTTGGCGCTTGATTTCCTCCCTCCCTAATTCTAATTTTCCCATGTGCAAAATATTAAAAAATTTCCATACTACACCGTTTTGGGTATTTGTAAAGTTGTAAACCCACTCTTTGTCTCTGTCATTCTCATTTCTATCACTATATAACTTAACCTAAACATTTATCATCTATCTACTCTCTGTACAGCAGACGCCGCACCGGCCAGTTGCAACTATCTCACGCTAGCCAGTTCAGCTTCTTATCTCTCTCCCTCATATACTTTCTCTGTACAACCGACGACGCCGCACCAGTTGCAGCTACTTCATGCGGGTTCGGCTTGCCACACTCTTCTCGGCGTGAAGCGATACACATACGAAAAACCTCTCTCGTGTCAATCGGAGCTAAGAAGCATAGTGATCGGAGGATCGATTGAATTTGGAAGGTCTGCTTTTTTGTTGCTTCTAATCTCTCTCATGTCAATCAGAGCTCACTCTCTCTATCTCTCGATCGGTGATTGAAATCGACAATTATCCGTAAGTTTTGCAATCAATCGTATGGTTATTGTGTGCGTAATTTCTTCAATGGCATCCACACTTTTGATAAATTTTCCCTAATTTTCAAATCATGAATCATATGTGTGTTTTTGAGAATTCTACACTGGTGGATTTAGATCTTATTGGGATTTGGGGCACACAAACTTTTATGCCTATATTTGTATTATATATGTTTGTATGCAGTACTTGTGTCAACATTGGTGCTCTGATTAATTATGATATAGAATAAGAAATTTATATAAACATAGTTATATGATCTACTCCAGTTGTCCGGTTGTTTGCTAGAATCATCATTAGGCGAGCTTGATATGGCTGGACTGGTTGGTTTAGAGGCAAGCTGTTGATTGGTAATTTTTAAAGGTGGTTCTGATTTAGTGGTTCCTAGAGAGTCTTCATTTTAGATGATAATTTTTAATTTTTGAAGAATTAGTTTAAGATTTCCCAAGAATATAAAGCTTCCAACCCACAATTATTATTATTATTATTATTATTATTATTATTATTATTATTATTATTATTATTATTATTATTATTATTATTATCACTATTATTATTTCTCCCTGTGAATCTGATCTTTCTATTGAATATCTGATCATGGGCTAAAATAAAGACTCAGATTTCTCAAAATTAACCGTTACCAGTTAGGAACGATACCGGGCAAGTGTAGCCTTAGGAACTTGGCTTAAACTACCTAATTTCTTAAAAAGGTTAGCGTAAGTTTTCAAATCATGAACAATGTGTCAAATAAATTTTTGTTGGACCTTGATAATTCATGGAAAAATGAAGTGTTTTGACTCTTAATGTGTTGGAACAGAAATAACAAAAATATAGAATGGGTATTCTGCTTACAGCTTCAATTTAATGTCTGACTGCTAGTTTTTGAGCCTTCTCATCCTTGGACAAGCCCTTTCCCACCTAAAATCATCAAGTCTTGTATTAATACTAAAAAATATATAAAATAAAATGTACTGAGAGAATATATAGGTGGTTATATAATCTACTGTGGTCTTGGTCAATATTCAAAACAAGAGAAGTCCTGATTTTCTGTCAAAGTAATTTTTACTTTTATGTTTCTAGAAACCAAATTCCCCCCATTGTTCTTATTGATTTGTACATCAGAGAGGTGCTTATTCTTGATCCAGATTAATCTCATTTCCAGCATTTATGTTTCTTGTCTGTATATCTTGGTAATTAAAGTTGTTTTTAAAAATGAAACCGATTGAACTGTGATGTTTTCTCATGTATTCTTACTAACATGTAGTGACTATATTTTCTGACAGGCCTTCCAGTTATTGCCATTGGTGTAGGATTCAGCACATGTGATAAAGCTTTTGTAAGGATTATTGTTTTCCCCCCAAATTCCCTTTGACATTCATAATTATGCAGTGTATGCATGTATATTCTTAGAGACTTGTTTTACTCTCTCTTTATTGTTTCAGTGTTCTCAATGAGGTCTCTCTCTCTCTCCTTTCTTTTTTATTTTATTTATGTATTTAATTTGTGTTTATATTCAACTTGCATTAATTATATTATATCTATACTTGAATTTATTTATTTTACCAGTTACATGGATAAGACTTGGATTCATCATCACACCAGGGGTAGTAAAGAGTATCATAAAGGCATAAGAGACTTCATTAAGTTTGCTAAAAGACATACAGATGGGCTAGGTAGGATCAAATGTCCGTGTCGTCGCTGCAAAAATGGTGACTATATTGCAATTGAGGAGGTTGAGACTCATCTATATAAGTGTGGGATGTACAAGGAGTATACTAATTGGATATGGCATGGGGAGGCTAATGTTAACACCACTGCTAATGTTAATGCAGAAGCTAATGTTAATGCCGAACATGGGGATAATGACAATGATGAAGGTAGAAATGAAGACAATGTATTTGATTTGTTGGATAATGTACGGATGGGTATGTTCACCAATGTAGAACAACAAGAAGATTCGCCTGAAGTTGATATAGGAGGAAGTTTTGATAGATTGCTAAATGACGCACAATGCGAATTGTGGCCAGGTTGTAAAAAACAATCTAAGTTGTCAGCAATTTTGAAGTTGTTCCATGTGAAGGTTACAAGCCGAATGACCAACAAATGTTTTGACATGTTGCTTAAGGTGCTAAAGGAATTGCTTCCCTATGACAACACGTTGCCAAAGTCCTATTATGAGACTAAAACCTTGTTGCGTGATTTAGGTCTTGGATATGAACCGATCCATGCATGTAAAAATGATTGTGCTTTATTCTGGAAGGAGAATGAAGCTAAAGAATGTTGTCCACAATGTGGTGAGTCGAGGTATAAGTCTCGAGAAGGTAAAGGAAAAAAGATTCCTCAAAAAGTTCTTCGGTACTTTCCTTTAAAACAAAGGCTTCAATGGTTGTTTATGCATAGGGATACAGCTATAGACATGCGTTGGCACAAGGAGAAACATGTCAAAGAGACAAATTTGTTGAGACATCCAGCTGATTCAAAAGCTTGGGAGGAATTTGACAATAAGAATAGTTGGTTTGCTGCGGATCCTCGTAATGTTCGTCTTGGGTTAGCATGTGATGGATTCAATCCATTTGGTAACATGAGTAATGCTTATAGTGTGTGGCCTGTAATTATTGTGCCCTACAATTTGCCACCTTGGATGTGTATGAAGGAACCATATATGTTTATGTCATTACTTATTCCTGGTCCTAAATCACCTGGTAATGACATTGATGTGTATCTGCGACCGTTAATTGATGAGTTAAAAGAATTATGGATAGATGGTGTGATGACATATGATGCCTACAATAAATCAAACTTTAAGCTGCATGCAGGGTTGATTTGGACTATACATGACTTTCCCGCTTATGCAATGGCATCCGGATGGATGACAAAGGGTTTTTTGGCGTGTCTAAATTGTAATAAAGACACATGTTCTTGTTATTTGAGTCACGGGCAGAAGATATGTTATTTGGGAGCTCGTATATTTTTGTCGTCCAATCATGCTTACAGGAAGCGTTACAAACAATTTAATGGCAAGAAAGAAGACAGAGAGCCACCAAAGCAGTTGACGGGTGATGATATTCTGGAACAATTTAATCTCCTACCCGAGGTTAGATTCGGAAAGGGACCAAACAATAAGAAGCGGACTCGTGAGAAGAAGGAACTTAATTGGACAAAGAAAAGTATATTCTTTGAATTGCCTTATTGGAGAACACTTTTGTTGCGACACAACTTAGATGTTATGCACATAGAGAAAAACATATGTGATAATGTGTTAGGGACATTAATGAACATCGAAGGAAAGACGAAGGACTCATTCAAAAGTCGGTTGGATTTAGAAGCAATGGGAATTAGAAAAGAACTTCATCTTAGGCGTAATGGTGAGAAATTTGAGATGCCACTTGCGCATTACACATTGTCAAAGGATGAAAAAAGGCAATTGTGTGATTGGTTGAAGTTAGTGAAGTTCCCAGATGGCTATGCATCAAACATAAGTCGATGTGTGAATGTCAATGAAGGTAAGATATCTGGATTGAAAAGTCATGATTCGCATGTACTCTTACAGCGTCTCCTCCCTCTAGCTATACGAGGATTGTTGCCCGATGATGTTTGTAATGCGATAACAGAGCTTGGTTTATTTTTTAAGGAGTTGTGTTGTCGGACCCTTAAACTAGATGTCTTAGAGGTATTGGAAAGGGATATTGCTATCATATTATGCAAGTTAGAAATGATATTTCCTCCATCATTTTTTGACATAATGGTGCACTTAGCTCTGCATTTGCCACGCGAGGCCATCATTGCAGGACCTGCACAATATCGATGGATGTACCCTATTGAAAGGTACTATACATTTGTAATACAAAAAAATATTTTGGAAACATTAAACTAGACATCATGATTTCGTAATATTTTAATTTTTATGTAGATTTTTACGTACTCTCAAGTCTTACGTGCGTAATAAAGCACGTCCTGAAGGGTCCATCGCTGAAGCTTATGTGGACAATGAATGCGTCACATTTTGCTCAAGGTTTCTTCAAGGGATTAAGACACGATTCAATCGAGAAGAAAGAAATTACGAGGGCGACTATTGCACCAATTGGTCCACTTTTTCAAAGCTCAGGCAAGTGGTTCGTCCTTTAGGGGCTGGAAGTTTAGAGATACTGGATATTGAAAGCATGCAAAAGGCTAAATTTTACGTGTTAAATAACTGCGCAGAAATTGCTTCATATGCAGTGTAAGTTATATATTCTCTATGTTTTTAATACTTTATTTATAAATTTTGAAATGTATCATAATATCACTTAATTGTTTAGTGCACACAAGACTGAACTCAAGAATGAAAACAAGGATAATGTACCATTAAGACACGTAAAAGAATTTTCGAGATGGTTGGGAACACGAGTAAGTCCTTAATGTACTTCATATCCCTATTATTTATTTTAAATGTGGTATCTGTATGCATTTATTTAATGTTTTAATTTTTTTTAATAGATAAAGGAAGAGCGTCATTATCAAGAGTTAGAAATTAGTGATGACCTGTATTCATTAGCTTGTGGACCTGATTTTCGGATAAATCAATATTCTGGTTGCATTGTAAATGGGGTCAGGTTTCATACAAAGGAAAGGGAGAAAAATCGAAAAACTCAGAATAGTGGTGTGTTAGTCAAAACAGAGGATGTTGATTACTATGGTGTCTTGACAGATGTCATTGAGTTACAATATCCTCTTAAGAGACGGGTAATCCTATTCAAATGTGATTGGTTCAACACAAGGACAGGTATTAAGAGGGATACTTATTTCAAGAGTGTAAATGTAGCCCGTAAATGGTACAAAGATGAGCCTTTTGTGTTGGCAAATCAAGCAAAACAAGCCTTTTTTGTCAAAGACACCAAATTACGAGGCACGTGGGAGGTCATTCAAGATATAACACATAGAAGCTCATATGACGTTCCCGAAGTGGAGGATAACAGTAGAGTTGAGGATGGAATGTATGCTACAGCATATCAAGAGGATGAACCATGCATTGTGGATAAGGTTGTTGAGGCGACCAACTTTGACATAGATCCACCAACTTTGAATAGGGATGGCTTGGAGGTTGAAAGTCTTGATGCTGAAATAATTCTACAAAGTAATGAAGAATCTCGTCATGAAATTGACTGTTTTGACAATGATGATGAAATCTTGATTGAAGACAATGATGATGAAATCTTGATTGAAGACAATTCAGATGATGAAGAAAAAGATGATAGTGATTTGGATTAAATGTGAAATATATATTTTTTTTCTGTTTAAAAATTGAACACATGCAAATTGAAATGTTGAAATTGGTTAAATTTGTCTTCAGTACTTAGCTTTGACTTTTAGAATATGTGTTTTATTTTTTTGAGTTATTATTAATCTCTTTTTCGTTCTTTTAATTATTTATTGTTTGGCTATTTTGATACTTTCCTTTGCCACTTAATTTTTATTTTCTAATTTATTTGTTTCAAAACATGTTATAAAAGATTTGATTCTCTTATTGCTATAATCTACTATGGCGTCCAATCGTCGGTCCTTGAGATCCAACAATGACCTTGCCCAAAACATTAATGCATCTTCCCAGCCACAGCCACAACCAGCAGTGGAAGGTGATTTTTTTATGATCTTTACATTTGCTAAACTTGTCTTTACATTTGAACTTGGTCCCAAAATACTCCTACGTGTTACTCTCATGAATTCATTTTTCAGGTTCATCAAGAAATGTCAAGAGGCGTGGCAAAGTTGTAAACAAAAAAAAAATTGACATTAAAAAGCGCAATGGGGGGATTGTTCCGATTAAGTTTACAGACGGTTATTTGAAACCGGTGGAGGAAAATTCAGATGTTTGGGAGAGAGAGCTTGGGATGATTGCTCGAGAACATATACCACTATGCTATGAGACTTGGCCAGATGTCCCAGACTATCATAAAAAGTTTTGTTACACTAAAATAATGGTATGTCTTGCTTAACCCATATCTTAATTCCTTTTTGCTACTATAACGTATAATTTTTTTTGTAAATTTTTAGTTTATACTATTTTTAATGACTGTCTTTCAAAGTCAGTCAGCAGGATTAAGTGCTGTTCATTCCTACTTTTGTACACTTATCATATTGGAGTTGTATTGTGAAATTGAGCTACTTTTGTAGTTTTATGTTATTTCAGTTCCAGTATTCATTTCGGATTCAGTTTTATACTGATGCAACATAACCATTTTTTTTGCTAAACAATTAAATTATTATATACTTCTAACTAATAATATTACAATTCATAAGAGAAAAAAATGGTTATGTTGCATCAACATGATCAAGTAAACAAAATTCATCATGATTTTCCTTAGTATAATATCAACCTTCCATTCTAAGAAATAATCAGTTGTTTGAAGTTCCATAGCTTTTGGTCCGCTATCATCATGATTTCCCTACCCTCAGAGGGAAAGGTCCTTCCCTTTTGGTCCGGTTGTTGGCGAGGAGGGATTTGGACCCCCAACACCATGGTAGGCAGCCACCTGTTATAATCGTCTTAAGTACAGGCCCAACCATCTCAAATGGATCTGTTCTAGTTGTTTTATTTTCCTAACAATTATATCATGATATTATACTACAAAAATGCTGGTTTAAAATGTTGAATATATGTTGTACACATGTCCAAGAGTATCCGAGAAGTAATCGGTATGTGGGGTGAAATTAAAACATTTATTCTTGTAGTGAGTTTACTTGGTTTTTATTTGATTTTTGAATTAGTGTGTATCTAGGAATGTTTAGTTTGAATTTATTTTTCAGTTGAAGTATAGAGTTATAGTATAATTAGAATGCTTGTACTTAGAAATTTGGTTTACATATTTTCCTATAAATAAACAAGGAGACATGTTGTAGTACAGGTCCAGCACCCTCAGAATCCTTTATATTATTTGTTTACTTTCTTCAGCCTTTCTTAGAATAGCATCCTTGCTATTTCTTCTCTCTTTCTATCTATCTCTGCCAAACTCTCGTTCTATCCATTTCTCTCTGTAATGACCCGGTCATTTTCCTTCCTTTCCTTTTTTCAGATTTTCACGGATATTTTTTTTTCGTTGATCTTTTCTTTTCTGAGTTCAGCTTCTCGTCACTTAGTGTCGTCTCGAGTACTCTGGAATGATTTTCGAAACTCTTTTCCTTGTATTGACAATTTCTTTTGAGGATCGCGTCATTTCCATATTTTCATTTTTTGGGCACTATTCACTTTTCATCCTTTTCCCTATTTTGTCTTTTCCCCGTTTGTTACTTTTTGGCACAACTTCACTTTTTGTGTTCGGAGTTGGTTTTTGACTTCACGTATCTTCATTTTAAGTGGGTTCCACGAAATACATATCTTTACTTTTGCATTAAAGTACTCTAGTTGCTCCCGGTGTCCATAGGGGTATGGATGCATAGTTTTTCAGAAACATTTCCTTTTCTTGGGGTATTTTTCGTAAATATCTTTTGAAGATATTTTATTTCAGGGGTTTCTAAGAAAATATTTTGGGAAGATATTTTCATTCTGGGCTAGTTGTGCAGTTTTCACTTTTTGGAGGGGCCATTGTGCAATTAACGAAAGTTATTACTAAATGCCTTGTTTTGAGCCTGGATCCTTATGCAGGATTCATTTTCACTTTTCATCGAGTCGTATATTCATAAAATTTCCTTCTGATCATTTTTCTCCAGTTTCAGGGTTTTTAGCCCTTGTTGCCGTTGAACTTATTCAGGGCATATCTCTCTGCTCGGGACTCAGTTTTCGACGCCGTTTCATCCGTTGTTCATCTTTATTCATTTTAGTTCTTTTTTGTTCACTGTGTTTTTCCGTTTGAGCGCGTCTGCTCGAATTCTACTTTTCTGGACCTGGCGGGGCCCGTTCGGGACGCTTTTAGGGTTTTGCTATAAATAGAATGTCTTAAAGTGAAAAATCACTTTTTCTATCTTCTTCCTCCCTCTTGGCCGGTAGCCATGGAAGACCATGGGGCTGTCACCTTCTCTCTCCTCTTTTGAGTTTCTTCCCTTCAGTAAAAAGTCGTAGTGCCTTCACGTTTTATGTTTGTCTTGACTATGCGCATTTTTCCTCCTTATTAGAATCCGTTTTTGGCCAATTCTTGAGTTCGGGTTTGAGGCCAAGTTGTGATTTTGATGGGGCTTTCTTGGGATTCTTGTTCATCGTGTTGTCCCCGACAAAACCTAAAAGTTTCGTTAGATTCGGAGCGGTTTCATTTTGGTGGGGATTTGAGATTTCATCTCAAATGAAGGTAGGGGGTGTTATAGTTTCAATTTCTTATTGTCTTGCATGCTATTGATACTTATATAACTTGTATACATGCTTTTGTTCATAATCTAGAAATTTAATTTAATTATTTCTTTGTATAAAATTTAATTTATATGATTGTCTATAGCTTGGAATCAAATTTTGACATTGTCACGCCCCGAAAATTCTATTAAAATTCTCGATTTTATACAATTCAAATACATCAAAATACATCCAGGATCATAAAAATTGCCCCCTTTTTTTTATACAAAGTCAATAACCTCAATATACAAAAAAATTCTCCAAATAAAAAAAAATATAACTTGCAACGCCAACTTTTTATCCTAAGCCCGTCTCTAGTGATCCCCGTTCATCTTTGGTACCTGAAATTGGAGGGTGGTGAGACAAAAGTCCCAGTAGGAAAAACCATAACAAGAATCTCATGGATGTTTAATAAAACAGTTTCACAACATAAACATATACATTTAATACATATGTATTTAATTAAAAACATTTAATAAAAACATTAAAGCAAAACCTCCCCATGCCATTTAAGGTATAGAGAACCCTACACTGAAAAAGATTAATTTTCCACTGGATCACCAAGTCTCCAAGCTTCCGCTGCGCCCTCTGTAACTCTCAGCTCACTCATTATCTGCTCAAAACTCTCAGTCTTCTCTCATTTTTCTATTCTGCTTGCTTACTAACTTCACAAGACAATGCACCATATATAAAGGCAAATCCACCCACTGTGCACAGAAACCAGCCAACAGACCCATGTGAAAAAAAAGAATCAATTCCAAGTCAAAAGGTGAGTCTGCCAAAATCTCATCATGTTATCAACCTACTCCTCTACTTCTTATCCCGCTTTGTCTGCGACTTCAACCCACCACACAATACAATTACATATGGCCATAAAATAATTGAGCCTATTACTCTCTCCTTTTCATCACTATACAATATACCTCATTCCTAAAAAAAAAACAGACCAAACCCATGTGAACAAAACCAAAGCAGAAAGCAATTTTGCCAAAAAGTCGCCCAATGGGCCCCGCGAATAATCAATTTTTCTTTCTCCCTCATCATTTCGGCAGCCACCTGCCCATTTCCTTCATCTAATGCTACATATATAATATATGTAATGTAATAAATAAATACATCAACTATCATAAAACAAGAACAAGGCCACGTGAAGTTAAAAAGCCTAAACAATTTTGGCCACACAATTTCTTCACACAATTTCTTGGTGGGTCCACCAATAATCATTACAACTTTTCATTTCATCCTTCCACTTTCGACTGACTCCTTTCCTGACCACAAAACATATATATAAATTATATAAAATATATACATGTGACAAATATCAAACCAACATTTTTTTTTTCGTCCAGTGCCCAAAAATACAATACATATATACATATATATGTATATATATATATATATATATATATATATATATATATATTATGTAACAAAACTAAATTAAATTTCAAAACCCATTAACTTTAATAAATAAATAAATAATTTAGACAGTCTAAAAATCATAAAATAATTAAATTAAAATTTCAAAAATTCGGATCATCACAATCTCCACCATTTAAAAAGAATTTCGTCCCCGAAATTCAGATCCAACAGTCTGTGCCCGAAAACACTAATAATCCATAAATCCTTAACCCAGGCGATGTGAGATATAGTGCCCACACACTCCGTAACCGTTGTGGTAACTCGTCGATGCGTCACCTGCCCACCCACTAAAAAAAACAATAACAAATCTGGGCTACCTGCCCAACCACACCAACTAACCATCCCAGTAGCTGCCAGTGACCGCCATCCACCTACACAAACCCGGCTACGAGTGGTAGCTCACCAGTGCTACACACTCGCCCACTCACACCCGTCTACATCATCACTACACTCACACTTCCGGCTGGGTACAGGCTCTGATAGCATTTTGTCACGCCCCGAAAATTCTATTAAAATCCTCGATTTTATACAA